TGAGTACTTCAATTTTCGTGTTTAGAACTTTGTTTTTGATATGGGTGTTCGGAAAAATTGTTCGCAGGCTAACACAAGTATAGCTATGATAATAATAATAACGGTTGTTTTATGTAAACTTCCCTTTTTAACTTTTACTTCATCTTCAAATACACCTACCTTTCTGTGAAATAATAAAATGGTAGTTATTATAATTTCAATGGTACAAAATAGCGTATGAAAATGTTTACATTTGGAAAGAATCAAGTTATGAGTCACACTTCCTTTCGTTTGTATTAGTTTTAGTTTAGTTTAACTATGTTAACTATTTATAAGTCGTAAGTCCTGTTAATGTTCAAGAAATGGCAGCATCAATAAAATTATCAGAAAGAGAGAGGTAAAACAAGAAGCTGCTTCAAGCAGAGACTAAACAGCAACTGTCAAAAACAAACAAATCAACAACCGGCAAAGAGCACCTAAAGATGGCTAACAGAACAACCGTCGAACATAGAGAAAATAACAACCGTGAGAGATGCCACAAGAACCGCCAAACAGAGAAAAAAATAACCGCCAGAGAGCGCATAAAAAAAGGATAACAAAACAACCGTCGAACATAGACAAAATAACAACCGTGAGGGATGCCACAAGAACTGCCAAACAGAGAAAAAAAATAACAGTCAGAGAGCACATAAAGAAGGATAACAGAACAACCGTCAACATAGACAAAAATAACAACCGTGAGGGATGTCACAACAACCGCCAAACAGAGAAAAAATAACCGTCAGAGAGCGCATAAAAAAGAAAGATAACAGAGCAGTAGCCAAACAGGGACTAAGCAAGGCTGTCAAAAAAAGAGCTAACACAACAACCAACAAATAGAGATTTCATTAGTAGTGACACAATAAAAATTGGCAAACCGGCTGTTCTTATATTTTAATTCATACTCAATACGCATATCTATAACGGATATAGTTATAGAAGGTGTTTTATTTGCGTGTGTTTATGCATAAGGTTTCTTGAATTTGAATGTCATACATCTAACATATGTTTTCTAAATAAAATGTATTGAATTTCCTATATCAACGGCTAGTAATGTTTGTTTAAACAGGCATTTAGTTTAAGAAAATCACGTCTTTTACGTTTAAGTATATACAGTAAATGACAATCTTAAAATAATTATGATTCAGCTTAAAATGTCTGTACAGGTTGTTTGATAAGAATGTATGACTGTACATTACAAAACATCATGCGTTATGATTGACATGCTTTTGAATGTCCAGTGCTTTTAAATCCCGTAATACTAAAATAAAAAAAAACTACGTCATTCTTCTTATTTGTTTAAATATAAGACTTTCTAAATTCTGGAAAGAAAATTTTTGATTATTGACAAGTGCTACATACGATGAAGACCAAATTTATCGATGGTTCAGCGGTAAATTTCAGAGCTTATAACGCGAAAATATGGGGTTCTATCCCTGCAGTGGGTACAGCGAGAAAGACTGTTGGGTTGATTAGAGTTTAAAAAGTTCGATGTTGATGTATATTTGTAGTTAAGCACGAAGCTACACAAAGGGCTATCTTTGCTCTGCCCACCACGGCTATCGAAACGGATAACGCCTAGACTTTATTCTGTTCTCGAAGTACTTCATATAACTGATAACACCTAGAATTTGTTATGTTTCGAACTCCTTCAGTATCTGATAACGCCTCGACTTTATTCTATTCTCGAACTACTTCAGATAACTGATAACACCTAGAATTTATTATGTTTCGAACTCCTTCAGGTATCTGATAACGCCTCGACTTTATTCTATTCTCGTACTACTTCAGATAACTGATAACACCTAGAATTTATTATGTTTCGAACTCCTTCAGGTATCTGAAAACGCCTAGAATTTATTATGTTTTCGAACTCCTTCAGATAACTGATAACGCCTAAAATTAATGTTTTTGAACTTTTTCAAGTAATTGGTAACGCCTTGAGTTTAATTTGTTTTAGAACTCCTTCACGTGACTGATTGCGTTTAGACTTTATTCTGTTTTCGAACTTCATCAGGTAACTGATAACGCCTGGCATTTACTCAATTTTCGAACTCCTTCAGGTAACTGATAACGCCTGGACTTTCTTCTGTTTTCGAGCTCCTTCAAGCAAGTGATAACGGCTAGACTTTACTCTTTTTCCTTCGATCTCCTTCAGGCAACTGAAAATACCTAGCCTTTCTTCTTTTTTTTAATACCTAGATTATATTCTGAGAGAAGAAGCCCTGAGAATTGTTAGGCGTAATGCTTAGGAATTTTCTTTTTTGAAACTTCAAATAGGCCGTAATATCTAAACCATGCTCTGTTTGTGACCATCAGTTTTGGTCCTCAATTAATCATAAAACAGGTTGTAACAAAGTCAAGCATTTGTCGTTGTTTTGAAGAAACACGCAGTTGTCCGATTGTCCGATAGAAAATCTCACGAACGTCTGATAGAGAAACACGCTGTTGTCTAATAGAGAAACGCACATTTGTCCGATAAACACACGATTGTAGAGAGACTCACGAATGTCTGATGGAGAACATGAGACTGCCTGATAGTGAAACATTCGGTTATCTTATAGAAAAAATCGGTTGTCTGATAGAGAAACACTCGGTTGTCTGATAGAGAAACACTAAGTCATCGCTTTCTAAAACCAATATCAATCATTAAAATTAGCAGTATCTAGGTTTGATGTTTCAATAATGCTACCTGACACAGAAGTCAATAGTTCTATTGTTTCGATATATATATCTATACAAAAAAATTAGAAAATATTGTTTACTGGATGTTACATTGGTTAGTAACACAAAATGAATTGGCACATTTTGTGCGTGTGTGTATAAATCCACATAAGTATTCCTAATGTGACCATGAAATGTTTTCCCCGAAATCGAAGATAACGGCTTAGATCAATAAAATAAAATAAATTAAATTAGTTTTACTTGTTTAGACCTTATGAGATTCAGAGTAGTATGGCAACATTTAGGCCTCTGCTAAGTTTGGTTAGGTTCATATGTTGTTTTTATTATTCACGTTAGTATGATAACCTTTAAGCCACTGTTCAGTTTGACTAGTTCGCACGTTGTTTTATATCTTATATTAGTATGGTAACTTTTACGCCACTGCTCAGTTTGCCTAGGTTCACATGTCGTTTTATGATTTGTATTAGTATGGTAACTTTTAAACCACTGTTCCGTTTAGCTAGGTTCGCGCGCTGTTTTTATGACAGGACTCCAACAACGATTTTGGGTTCTGCGTGGTCTAGTTGTCAGCGTGCCAAACTGCTGTTCGAAATGTCCAAAACTCGAGTTGCAACGCCGCTACACACATCATGAACTTTCAGCTATAAGAATGCGTTATCAACTTGTTTATCTGGTTCAAAGCTATTTAAAATCAAAATCGTTGCAGGCGTTGATGATTGTCTACTTTCTCTCCCATCAGCAGTTCGACAATAGAAACGACTATACTTGAACTGTAGGAGTCTTTGACACAGCCTTTTGTCTGATATGTTGCAAAAAGTGCCTTTCAGGTTGAAAATTCAAAATATATGATGTCTTTTTCATATTTAGAAGTATTTTTAAAAATAATTTCTAATGAATATACAGAAGTAATTTTTATACTTTTGCCATTATGGTTAAGTGGTGTATGAAACGAAAGAGCTTGGTGATTTCTTTCAAATTAATACGATTTAACTTGGTTCTTCAGTTATACGTTTTATTAATCAAGTTCGTGAAAAAGCAGAAACAAACTAAATGTGATAAGCAAATCGTTCAGTCAACAATCATACAATGATCCAAGTACAATAAATACCTGCCAAAAGTTTAAAAAGTAAAACAAAACAGCTTTACTGGACAACTACATTTTATACTTTAACATCTCGATCAGACTCTTGTGCAAGAAAGCACGAACTCCAATCATTCAAATTAAATTGAAGTGTTTTTAAGCCAATTAACAAAATATTCGTTAAATGATCCCTTTCTTCATTACTGAAAGTAATATAAAGCGTGTGTTGTTTAATCTTAATTTAAGATTATTTCGGTTCTTTTCTCATTATTGTAGTTTAACATTTCAAAATGTTTTTGCTTTTTTATTAAGTACAAAGCTATGCAATAGATTATCTGTGCGCTGCCTACCCCAGGATTGAAACCTGATTTTTACG